CAAGAAGTGACTTTTCATTATTCCTAAATTCATACTAATGAAAATTGACTAAACAAATGTTCAACTTTATAACTAAGTATAATGATAATGTATTATCCAGTTAGTTACTTTTTTTATTACAAATAAAAAGAAAATTCTCCCATCAAATATGAATACTAGATTGGGGTTTTACAAAGCCCCTTATCGGATTTGAACCGATGACTTACGCCTTACCATGGCGTTACTCTACCACTGAGTTAAAAGGGCCTTTTTTATTTAATTCCGGAATTATTCACTATGTGGATAAAATATCTATATGTACATATATTATAAACATAAGTATATATGCATTAAGTACGTGCAGTAGATACATAGTGTCTAGTGGCTCATTGTTGAATAATAAAATGGATTTACCTAGGAAGTCTAGGAGAAAATGCAATGAATTGTTTCAAGACCGACTCGAATAGAAATAAATTCAATTGAAATAATTCAAAAAAAAAAAAAATACTACTACTAGATTTCTAATGTCGATTCTAATGAATAATTCGTCAATGACGAATAAAAAACAATTCTATGCAATTCTGAAAGGGGGAAAGATCCCTCGGCTAGAATCATTTGATTATATTGACAATTTCAAAAAACGGATCATACTATGATCATAGTATGATGGCCGTTGGTCAAGCGGGCCCCCATCGTCTAGTGGTTTAGGACATCTCTCTTTCAAGGAGGCAGCGGGGATTCGAATTCCCCTGGGGGTAGGGTACTACGAAAGGAAATTGATCATGGATTACCAATAAGTCGAAAATTGATTCTTCCTGGGTCGATGCCCGAGCGGTTAATGGGGACGGACTGTAAATTCGTTGGCAATATGTCTACGCTGGTTCAAATCCAGCTCGGCCCAATAATTCGCCAATCCGCCATGAGATGATATAACTCCCTTTGTACTTCAGAAATACCCGATCCGGAGATAAAAAAGAATCAAATTTTCTGCTAGATCCCGTATTTCCCTGGGATTGTAGTTCAATTGGTCAGAGCACCGCCCTGTCAAGGCGGAAGCTGCGGGTTCGAGCCCCGTCAGTCCCGACGGATCCAATAAATATATCAAAAAATCTCTCCCTTTTTCTGAAGGGGACCGGGGGAAGAATTCCATTGTCAAAGCAAAGGGGAAATCCTTATTTCTTTTTTCTTTCCTTTTGGTAGGAGAAAGACATATGCGGTTGGATTAGTACAATTATTGGTAGCATTATAGTCAGTATTCCAAGAAATGCTGGCTTTTTCGATTGCCCCCGATGCATGTAATGGAATCGAGTACTATACTTTTTTGAGGCGCGCATACACAAAAGGAATTCCTTTCTTGTCCAATACAAAATTGAATATAAGAAAATACTTTCCAGAAAAAACAAAAAAAAAACAATTTATTTTTCTGGCTACGGATTTATGGAACCTGACTTACTAGTTTGAAGTTGCAAAATAGATTTCATGCAAATTGCACACTGAGCTTTTGGTATAGGTGTCCCGGGGCTAATAATCTACGAAGAAAGGAGGGGGAAGGACAGATCAACCAAAGATCCTACTCCTCTTAGAAAGGCGAATGAATCATTTTTCCTATTTTTCATTTTGTTTTAAGGCCCCATCGACGAAAGAACAAATCGGAAAATAGTAAATTTGATGAATATTCATTTTATACGGTCTCATCTTTATCACACTTCTTTGTCTTCCAAGTCAAAAATAGTTTCGTTCTAAACTCCTTTCTTTTTCCATTTAGCTTTTATTGTTTGTTTGGGTTTGTAACTATGTGACCACTGGAAGTGGAAGAGCTATTTGATGAGACTTCATCAGATGATTGTACAAGAAGGAACTAGATAGATTAGAGAGAAAAAAAGAACAGATAATAAAAAATGATAAATAAATAAAGGAATTTTGGGTTAGGTCAGCAATCCAAGTTTGGGGCGGTATGGATAAAAGAACTTCCTATGTTATACTATTCAATTCTCGACGACGAATTTATTTGATAGTTCAGATATTGTTATTCATGATATTGATCTGATTCAAGATCATCGAGAGGTAATATTCATTCATTGAATTTACAGGCCAAAGATTTATCATCTCTATGGGATTAAATCCCGAGTTATTGCGAAGTAAAAAACCGATGAGATTATGGAAGTAAATATTCTTGCATTTATTGCTACTGCACTATTTATTCTAGTTCCTACCGCTTTTCTACTTATCATTTATGTAAAAACAGTCAGTCAAAACGATTAATTATTAACTAATTTGAATGAAACTTGACTTCTGAGTTCTTAGCCAAAATTGACGAAATAAAATGAAAAAGATTCCAATTTCATGTCTTAAATGAAATGAGTGGACTAGAATCGGCAGTATTCTAATAGATAGATAGTATGGTAGAAAGAAATAGATGAATCTTTCTACCATACTATTTATTAGTTAGATTCTTGTTATAAAGCTGCCCCCTGGAATAAAATAAAGATAGAGGCTGCATTTGATATGGATCTATATATCA